GTGGGTGGAGGGGGACAAAGGTGAGCCCTTTACTGAGGACTGACCCTTCGTCCTCAGTAAGGGGTAGGTCTGGGGGGATGGTGAAGACTCGGCCGGGCTGGGTGCTGCTGTCTCCTCTGGAGCTGCTGGCTGTGGAGGCTGTGGGCAGAGTTGCGTCGCAATAAACAACTGCACCTCCCAGTCGCGAACCATTTCAACTCCCCCTCCCATTCCTCAGATGACATGTCCATCCTGGGCCTCCTGCAGTGCCACAACGATGCCACCCGAAGGTTGCAGGAACAGCAACTCATATTCCGCTTGGGAACACTGCAGCCCAATGGTATCAATGTGGATTTCACAAGTTTCAAAATCTCCCCTCCCCCCACCGCATCCCAAAACCAGTCCAACTCGTCCCTGCCTCCCTAACCTGTTCTTCCTCCCACCTATCCCCTCCTCCCACCCCAAGCCGCACCTCCATCTCCTACCGACCAACCTCATCCCGCCCCCTTGACCTGTCCGTCCTCCCTGGACTGACCTATCCCCTTCCTAACTCCCTACCTACACTCACCTTTACTGGCTCCATCCCCGCCTCTTCGACCTGTTTGTTTCCTCTCCACCTATCCTCTCCTCTATCCCTCTTCTATCCGCCTCCCACTCTCTCCCTATTTATTTCGGAACCCCCTTCCCCTCCCCCTTTTCTGATGAAGGGTCTAGGCCCGAAACGTCAGCCTCTCTGCTCCTATGATGCTGCTTGGCCTGCTGTGTTCATCCAGCCCTGCACCTTGTTGTCTCGGATTCTCCAGCATCTGCAATTCCTACTATCTCTGATTTAACTAGGTTCATTAGGTTCCAGACCACAGGTTGTTTCCACTGTTTGGAGAAAGCAGTTTTTTACATTTGTTTTCCAAACATTTTCATTTGCAGTCCCTATTTATTCTTTTTAAAGGGGCTGCTATTAAATTTTTAGCCCTATGCTCCTCATTTATGGGCATCTTACACTGAGGGGGATGGGCAGATCAGAGCGCCCCCTTGTGGGCCTGGCCAAAGTGGCCACCAACAGGTCCAGGCAATGGGCTCTAGAGGAGGCTGTAATACCTGAATTTCTGCCCCCTGTTCCGTGGTTAGCCCATGAGGAGCGTGGAAAATGGACCAACATAGTCCTTTAGGGACTGGTGGGCCTGCAGAGGTAGGGCGTATCATCACCACTAGTAGTGAAATTTCAATTTCATTTTGATAAGTTTTTGTTGTTTTCCAGTGGTAAACTTTCATTTTTTTGTTGCAGTGCTGTGCCAAAGGGTGTTTAACCTGTTCAATGCTCATTTAGAAAGAAGACATACAAGGTCTGTTCTTAATTGGCTCCTTTTAGGAGTGGTTAGTGGAGGTGTTAGTAGTTCTGGATCCCTGTCAAGGAGGGGAATAATCAGAGGCAGATACCATTTTGATCACTGCTCAATCACTCCAGCATGCATGCGCATGCCAGTTGAGGATACCATAGTGTTCAAATATAATGGCCAACATGGAATCGAGCCCAAGAAGATATCCTAGCACAAGTCTCGAGATGAAGGGGCAAAATTACAAGGCTGACACAGTTATCAAGGGAAACAAGAGACATTGTAATTGTGTAGCTGCATCCTTTTATAAAATCTAAGATTATTATCAGTAATACACTATGCTAATTAATACAGGTGCCTATTAAGGTGCATTGTTAATGGTTACTTTTTGAGATTTGTATCTTGACAACCAACGTCCAATATGCTTAGATTGCTTTTTGTCATTTGTACATAACTTATTTGTGTATTCTCCAGAAATTTCTCCAGAAATTTTGCAACTTAAATCACACCCAAAAATATAAACAGTGGTTTGATCTTTCAAAGTATAGGGTGGAGTCAGAGCCAGGGTTGATTCATTCATCCCAAAGAAGTTTGTTACTGTTTGGTAACATGGTAACTATGATTATTGACATTTTAAACAAACTCTTGATTGATCAAGTTTACTTTAATAGTCCATGAATTCATTTATGCTGAAACATAAAGATTTTGTTGAAACTGTTTGCCTCAAATTCATCAGGACTCTCACAGGAATACCAATGTAAACAAGATTTTGCATGATATTAGAAGAGAACTCTAACTGGTTGTTAGGTGGGCTCTGGTGCAGGTGTTGCCATGTAGAATGCATCAATTAGGTGATGACTGACTGTTAACTGCCAAGCTCTGTTCAAGTTTAAACCAGGCAGTTGACTCTGATTGGTAAATCTCTATCAGTGTTCACCTGCCAACTAATCAGCATTCTCCTCATACACTATAAAATGTTGTTCCTCTTTACATTGATATTCATGTAAATGTCCTCATGTGTGTAAAACTAAAAGATTTGACAAAATGTATCTTTTAGCAAAGCTCAAGTTCTGTAGACACACCAAGTCATACATTGTTAATCATTGGGATTGCACATGGTCCCTTGGGGTTGCTGGGGTCAAGGAAGCTGTGATTTCATGACAGACTAATACCTTTCACACATAATTTTCCCTAGTGATGGGTTGGAAGGAGAAAGAACTGGTAAAGATGGTGAAGGAAGATCCTATGAGGGGAGTCAAATGTCATTCCAATAACTGTTTTTTACTTCACAGATGCTGCCAGACCTGCTGAGCTTTTCCAGCAACTTTGTTTTTGTGACAACAAGGTGTAGAGCTGGATGAACAGAAATGAAGGGTCCAGACCCGAAACGTCAGCCTTCCTGCTCCCCTGATGCTGCTTGGCCTGCTGTGTTCATCCAGCTTTACACCTTGTTATCTGAGTCTCCAGCATCTGCGGTTCCTACTATCTCTGAAACAACTTTGTTTTTGTTCCTGATTTACAGCAGTTCTTTCGGTTTTTATAATCCCATTACACTCTCTCTGAGGGCCAGTGGTAGCGTCCCTACCTCTGAGGCAGGATTCAAGTCCCACCTGCCCCAGAGGAGTGTCACAACAGGTTGATTAAAAATATCAATGCACCTTCTCTGCTCTCAGGCGTTCAATCTGACCTCCCATTCTTAAAAGAAACGGGTGTCCTGTACTGTCTTGATGTTTCACTCGGGAATTGGTCCGGATCAGAGCATGGAGTGAGGAAGTGACTGGAGGGAGGGTGTGACTGATGGGATCTGGGGAAAACCTTACGCGGTTGCAATACAAGTGAAATTGACTGACTCACCCCGCCTTGAAAGCTGACATCACGGGGACACGCCTCAGAAGACAGACTTTGAAAAACACACACACAATCCGTAAAAATCCACTAGCACAGCTTGAGCTCGGAGTTGGAGACTTTCCTTCCCATCGTGTGAGTACAGCTGCGGTGTTCAGACTTTTAATGTGTTAGTTTTGTTTTATGATGGTAGTGGAGGAGGGAGGGAGAGAGACAAACAAACAAACAAACAAACAAACAAACAAACAAAAGAGGGTTTTGACACTTTTCAAATGTTGTTACTCTAGAAGGGAAAACTATATATAGTTGGGCTCGGATTGATAGAGCGAAAATTAAATATTTACGGTAACAAATGGGTCGATGTGGCTCTCCCTCCCCAGCTTCCGAATTTGGAAGTCGCTTTATTTGTAAACTTTATTTCCAAAGTGGATTTTAAAAAAAAACCCTTTTTTTTTCCAAAGTTTGTTGCACGTTAATGACGGTAAAAAGGTAATTGTTTAGGTTCAATGCAGACAAGTTTGGGGGATTGTTCCCTCCCTTTGCTTGTAATTTCAAGTTTCAACTCTTCTCCCCAGTGAAATTGCAAGTTTTTTTTTGTCGGATGTTTGTACTTGCCCTGTTCCCCTGGGGGAAACGGCCCTAGGAAAGGCTGAGATTGTCTGTCGAAGAAACTGTTCCGAGGCTTAGAGCCCTTTGCATGAGAAAACTCTTCAACCTTGTTTTATTTTCAATCACGAGAAAGTTAAAACAGTGACCGTGACTTTGAAGCTGCTTGTGTTTCTTGGATTCTCTACAGCAGTTTTGAAAGGGGAGGTTGGTAATTTGCATCAGGAGCTTCATTTCTGCAAATACCATGTTTTAAAGGGGTGTGGCTGTTCCTTGTTTATCCAGAAACAACAGCGTCCATCCGCTCGGGAGTGTGATTTTAAAATCATCCCTGTTACTGTCTTTTAAAATGGTAAAGGACAACGAAGTTAACTTTTTCCCTCTGCTGCTTTTGCCTGAAGCTCTGGCGGGATTAAATTTAGTTCACTGAGTTGGCTTCCGAAATAGACCTTTGTTGTTTTCTAAAATATATATTTTAGAAAAGTTCCTGTAGATGAAGCAAAAAGTAAAGTCGCCATAGTCCCAAAGGATTAATAGGGTATCTATCTCATTAGAGAGAGATAACTGGTGGTGGTTTAACTGAGGGTCAGCACGCCTCGGGTGAAGTTGAGAAGGAGAATCCTTCGTGGTAACCTTAGCCAGATGTGGCTTCACTCTGTACTGCAAACCAGCCGTCCAGCCAATTGAGTTAACCAACCCTCTTAATCTGAGTTTTAAAAGAAAGCGGTGAAACCGCTGGTTATTATCTGGGGCGTGGCCACTACTTTGTACACTTGGCATTGTTTGCTATCAGAGATGTGAGTGAGCAGTGTCCTTTAAGTTCATGTCTGGAGTCTCAGTAATGAGCCCTTACCTGGGGTTTGGGAATCCTTGGCTCTGCTCCAAGGCCCCCTTTTACCTTCACTTTTGGAAACGCTGTCGATTTATGCTGAAGTTGCCATGGGTTGATCTGGTGAACTGCCAAGGAGATTTTGGCCATTGATCAATGCCAGTTCAGTCCTTGCTATTTTCTCTGCTCCTGCCATGAAATGTCAGAAGTGTTGTAGGCATCTGGATCGCTGTTCCACTGTCTGACTGAAAATGCCAAGTAACTTCCCAACAATTTCAGAACACTTCCATGCTTCAAACTGTTCTAATGATGGGAGGGTTTCATTTTGGATGAGGCTGAAAAGTCTCAAGTCTCCATGAAATCCCAGGGTCTTTGTTTGAAGAACTGAGCTTTCAATTTTTTTTAAAAAAGAAAAATTGATGGTTTGGTACAATATTTATTCTGGAATTTTTCCCAGCAGCAGATTGTGGAACTTTTATACACTTCAGGGACCAAATGACAAGCAGCAATGTACATGCAGCTTTCCAAAGCTGCAGGGCGTTGTCAGTCAACACAGCTGCTATGGTATAGGGGAGTGAAATTGCACTGGGCTTGGGTGGAATAGGCAAACTGATGGTGAACTCCACCGAATAGTAAACGGTGGTGGTGTCTGCAAGTGGGGACTACTAAGGTATTATTTTGCAGGGTAGCCATAGCCAGTATCCCCACTGACCGTCCACGTCATCTAATCCTGAGCAAACCTCAGGAGTTGAAACCCACACAAGATCCCCAAGCAGGAACTTCATTTCGCTGAGGTGTCATTGGGAATCTCAGTCTGGGTTTTAAAATTTTGTCTTGCATCGTGGGTACTCGATTCTAGACTGCAACTGCAATGGGTACGCTGAGTTGTAACCTTTCCCCTTGATCATACGCTGCACTGCAACTTCCTTAACTTTGTCACTGTTTAAAAACTCGTTTTTCAATCTTGATGGATGCCTTCCTTTTGTCAGGTTGAAGCTGCCTTGTTTCAGAGGGGAAGTGGAATATTTATGACAATGACGCTGGTAAATTGGGAATTCAAGAGTAGAACTCCTTCCCCCCCCCCCCCCCAATCTTAGACTTCTCAACATTATCTACAGGGGCTGCAACTGAGGACAAATATGCCTGTGCTTATCTTGGTGCCATTGTTGCAGGCAGGGTGGGGCATAGAAGCAGGACACTGTGGTGCGTGGCAGTTAAGTTGCTTAGTGATTGTTCTTTTATTCTTTTGTGGGATGTGGGCGGGACTGGCAAAGCTAGCATTCATTGCTCATCTCTTTATTGTCCTTGAACTGAGTGGTTTATTTAGTCAATTCAGTGGGTTGCAGAGAGCCAATTGCATTGTGCAGGTTTGGAATCGTATGTAAGCCAGACAAGGTAACTTCTGCCATCCCTAAAGGGCATCTGATGGGTTTTTAATGATTGAGACTAACCTTGCATACCAGGTTGAAACTCGTGCCCCAGAGCTTTTGGATTACTAATGCAGCCAATATAATCAAAGACTCTTCCCACCCTGGTTATGATCTCTTCCTACCATTTCCGTCAGGCAGAAGATACAAAAGCTTAAGCACGAGTACCAACAGATTTCAAGAACAGCTTTTTCCCTGCTGTAATTAGACATCTGATTGGACCTCACAAATTTTAAATTGAATGTTGATCTCGCTCTTTGTGCACTGTCTCTGCAACTAATGCATTTTGTATGATTATGATCTGCCTGCAAAGCCAAACTTTTCACTGTACCTAGATACATGTGACAATAATAAATCAAATTAGTAAAATTACCCCTCTGCTGTTGTCACTCCTTACAGGCAGGCCACCTCCTGGAAATAACTTGTCCCCAATGCGGTTCTCTTCATAACCCTTCCATCCCAATTGGACCCACCTCCTCACCATCTTTCCCCCACATCCTCCTCCTGAGCATTGGATTTCTGGCCGTTAGAGTTCCTCGCCCCTTCTTAAGGGGAGGAGAGAGATGATGCTCTTCATAAAACACAATGGGAAGACATAAGGTTACACCAAATGCCGTAGCTAGCTCTAGCCTATGCTTGTAGCTTCCCTGATGTGTGTTTGCTGGAATGTGAGTTGAAGCCAACCAGTTTTCTGGGCCTTCATGTTAACAGCAAATATCTCCAGCTTTGGTCACGTTTGGTGGGTTGAACGTTAGATTTTCACCTGCTCTGCTCTTCATTATGCATTAAGTGTAGGGGTTGGTAGGTCATGTTGCAGTTGTATAGGACATTGGTGAGGCTAACTTTAGAATGCCACATTCAGTTCTAGTCTCTTCCTGCTACAGGAAAGATGTTGTTAAACTTGAAAGCATTCAGAAAAGATTTACAAGGATGTTGCTGGAATTGGAGGATTTGAGCTATTAGGAGAGGCTGAATAGGATGGGACTTTTTTTTTTCTCTGGAGCATCAGAGGCTGAGGGATGACCTTAGAGGTTTAATAAGTCATCGGGGGCATGGATTGGGTGAAGAGCTTTTTCCCAGAGTAAGGGAGTCCAAAACTAGAAGGCATAGGTTTAATGTGAGAAGGGCAAGATTTAAAAGGGACCTAAAGGGCAACTTTTTCACACAGAAGAGTGGATATATGGAATGAGCTGCCAGCGGAAGTGGTGGAGGCTAGTACAATTACAACATTTAAAAGCCGTCAGGATGGATACATGAATAGGAAGGGTGTAGAGGGATATGGGCCAAATGCTGGCAAATGGGACTAACGCAGTTTAGGAGACCCGGTTGGTACGGACAAGTTGCACCGAAGAGTCTGTTTCTGTGCTGTATAACTCTGAATCTTTATATCCCAGTCTCAGAATGGTACCTGGTATAGTACCAGTGTAATATTTCCACAGTTACATCATTCGCACCTGGCTTCAGTAGAGTCAGTTTTGTTAAATTGACCATTTTATGCCAATTCCTGTAGCAGGTCTCCCTGGCCCTGTACCCATTGACAACTAATGGCTTAAGATGGTCTACAGCTATTTCATGTATTACCAGCAGAGGACACTTGTGGACCTAATGGATTTGGAGTTGTTTTTCAGCCTTGTAATAAAGATCCTGGCCTTTAATGGAGTGCTTCTGCAGAAGGAGAGTTTTTCATCTGGTTTCAGATTTCTGGATTGGAATAACAATACTAAAATCTTGGGTTTCATTTAATTCCAGCTGTGTAGTAAAGCACAATTGCATCAAAACTGGCCAAACCCATAAAACAATCCATCTCTGTAGAGTTGAATGAAATAAGATTGTTCGGAACTCACCCAGTTCGTTGTGGGTGTGGTTGAAGGCACAAAACAGTCTGGTATTGCAACATTAATTAGGCCGTGTGCAGAGTAAAGTTACTATGCTGCAAAAGATGGAGTATATTTTATTCACCGACATAAATATTCCTCACAGTGAGCAATCTTTGTCTGTTTGCCAGTTTTTGTTTGGTTTCTTTTTGGCCCCTTTTTTTTAGTTTCCAAGAACAAAAATCTGATTTTTCACTCTTTACAAAAACCGGGTGGTAAGGAATTCAGTTTGACCTCTTGCTTTTAAAGTGAAATCGTTCAGTTTAACAAAGGTACAAGATATAGTTGTGGACATTGTTGCCTGTCACAACTAGCTTCTGGACTTGGTATTCATGCGATTGATTTGGAGGCAGGGTTGCAACTTTCACAAGCTTCCACTCTGGTTGTACTTACTAAAGT